TTAGGCAGGATGGCCATTTTGACAATATTAATTCTTTGTATCCATGAGCACGGGATGTGTTTCCATTTATTGGTATCTTCTTTAATTTCTCTCATGAGTGTCTTGTAGTATTCAGAGTACAGGTCTTTCACTTCCTTGGTTAGGTTTTTTCCTAGGTATTTTATTCTTTTTGATGCAATTGTGGATGGAATTGTTTTCCTGATTTCTCTTTCCGCTAGTTCATTGTTAGTGTATAGGAATGCAACAGATTTCTGTGTATTAATTTTGTATCCTGCAACTTTACTGAATTCAGATATTAGATCTAGTAGTTTTGGAGTGGATTATTTAGGGTTTTTTATGTACAATATCATGTCATCTGCAAACAGGGACAGTTTGACTTCTTCCTTACCAGTCTGGATGCCTTTTATTTATTTATGTTTTCTGATTTTAGTGGCTAGTCCCTCCAGTACTATGTTGAATAGAAGTGGGGAGAATGGACATCCTTGTCTTCTTCCTGATCTTAGGTGAAAAGCTTTTAGCTTCTTGCTGTTAAGCATAATGTTGGCTGTGGGTTTTTCATAGATGGCCTTTATTATGTTGAGGTACTTGCCCTCTGTACCCATTCTGTTGAGAGTCTTTATCATGAATGGATGTTGAATTTTGTCAAATGCTTTTTCAGCATCTGTGTAGCTAATCATGTGGTTTTTGTCCTTCATTTTGTTGATGTGGTGGATGGTGTTGATGGATTTTCGAATGTTGTACCATCCTTGCATCCCTGGGGTAAATCCCACTTGATCATGATGGATGATCTTTTTGATGTATTTTTGAATTTGATTTGCTAATATTTTGTTGAGTACTTTTGCCTCTATGTTCATCAGGGATATTGGTCTGTAATTTTCTTTTTTTGTGGTGTCTTTCCCTGGTTTTGGTATTAGAGTGATGTTGGCCTCTTAGAATGAGTTTGGGAGTATTCCCTCCTCTTCTGCTTTTTCAAAAACTTTAAGGAGGATGGGTATTAGGTCTTCACTAAATGTTTGATAAAATTCAGCATTGAAACCATCTGGACCCTGAATTTTGTTCTTAGGTAGTTTTTTGATTACTGATTCAATTTCCTTGCTAGTAATCTATTCAGATTTTCTGTTTCTTCCTGGGTCAGCCTTGGAAGGTTGTATTTTTCTAGAAAGTTGTTCATTTCTCCTAGGTTATCCAGTTTGTTAGCATATAATTTTTGATAGTGTTCTCTCATAATTCTTTGTATTTCTCTGGTGTCCATAGTGATCTTCCTTTCTCATTTTTGATTCTGTTTGTGTGTGTAGACTTTTTTTCTTGATAAGTCTGGTTAGGGGTTTATCTATTTTATTTTCTCAAAGAACCAGCTCCTGCTTTCATTGATTCTTTCTATTATTTTATTCTTCTCAAGTTAATTTATGTCTGCTTTAATCTTTATTATGTCCCTCCTTCTACTTACTTTGGTCCTCATTTGTTCTTCCTTTTCTAGTTCATTAATTGTGAGTTTAGACTTTTCATATGGGATTGTTCTTTCTTGAGGTAGGCTTGTATTGCAGTATACTTTCCTCTTAGCACTGCCTTTGCTGTGTCCCACAGATTTTGCAGTGTTGAATTATTGTTGTCATTTGTCTCCATATATTAGTTGATCTCTGTTTTTATTTGGTCATTGATCCATTGATTATTTAGGAGTATGTTATTAAGCCTCCATGTGTTTGTGGGCTTTTTCTTTTTCTTTGTGTAATTTATTTCTAGTTTCATACCTTTGTGGTCTGAGAAGCTGCTTGGTACAATTTCAACCTTTTTGAATTTACTGAGGCTCTGTTTGTGGCCTAGTATATGA